TTTTTTAAATAAATGTCAATTATAGGGCGTCAATTATACATCTTTCTGTAGTAGTGTATGTTGATAGAATTCAACTTTGTTGATTATAGTTTTGGCTCTTGATAACCTTTTGGATTAGAAATTCAAGCTTGGAAGCTAGTTAATTGAGGAGTAAACCTTTGACCTCTCAAAGGTTTGAGGTAATCAGGGAAAAACTCTACTTTAGGTAGTTATATGTTAATTGATTGTTAATTGGTAGTTGAATATGGATTATGAATGTTACATGTATGGAATTTATTGTTAAAGTAAAAGCTATATATTAGTTTCAATAAGTGCATAAAAAAGCTATTTTTGGCTTTAAAATGCAAAAAGTAAGTCAAGAGGATTTTACTATGAAAATGCTTTTACTTTTGAAAAATGAATGTGATGATATGTAGAGGTATTTGTGTGTTAGTAATGAAATGAATTTGAGAAAAGGATGAGAATACACACTTGGGTAGCACAAGGTCGTGAGCCCAATGTGGTTGTTGTAATAGTGAGTAAATGAAAGCGAAAAAGTAAACACAAGTAAGTATTAATTATGGAATGATTAGTGGCAGGAGTTTGCCTAGAAATTTGGGAGTAGAGAAAAATCTATATGGTATTTAAGCTATGCTTCGGTGCACGGGGGCTATAGCCTCGTCCCACTGTTTGTTGAGAGATTGTCCCATAATTTGTCGAGGGACTAGAACTAAGGGTGTTTAAAATCGATCCAAACCGAATGGACCAAACTAAATCGATCCAAACTGAAATGAATCGAACAAAATCGACCATTGATCAAGTCTGCTTTGGTTTTTATGATACACAAACCGATTGGTTTGGTTTAGTTTCGATTTTGAGATATGAAAACCGAACCAAACTTGAACCAAGCTTGATTAAAAATAATATTTATTTATATAATATGTATATAATTAAATATATAAGTTCTTTTTTGGATAATAGGTAGTTGATATAATTTAAGTGGATATTATGACATTGAGAGATGAATATTAGATATTGTGTTTTGAATATATATATATATATATATATTTATGGAACTATAAGTGTAAGTATTAATATTAAATAGTATGATATTTGAAATTTTAAATATTTAGTCTTTAGATATTTGTATGTTTGTTACTTGCTATTAGGTGATGAATTTTCTCTATGAAGATTCAAATAATGTATCTAATATAATTATGAAGATGATTAGTTGATCATCATTATTTTGATTTTTTGCTGTTTGTAATCATAAAATTAATTTGCATTATATATATATATATATATATATTGGATGACAAAAGAAGATTGATGAGATCATGAAGATATAGTACATTCAAGGTCAATGAAATGAAGAGATGAATAAGATTAATATGATATAAACATATTTTTTTTTATCTTTGATACATTTGAGACCAAGCAAAAAAAAAAAAGAAAAAGAAAAAGATGAACATGTATGCATATGATATGTAATTAATCAAAGTTCAAAAACTTTCTAATTTCCATAAATATATTATGATTGTGATTGAAATAAAGCACAAGATAAGTAAGAACCTTCCATACAATAAAAGAGCTAATAATGCATAAATCAATTCAAAATAAAAAAGTCCAACTATTACAAAGACAGGAAAAAAGAAAAAAAATAAATTCATTAAAGCTTGATCCAAACCTTAACCAAACCAAACCAAACCAAAACAAAAATCGAACCAAATCGATTTCAATTGAAACCGATCAAGTTCTACTAATGCTTAAACCAATTGGTTCGGTTCAGTTTGGTTTTTTGCCTAAAACCAAATCGAACCGAACGTATGAACACCCCTAACTAGAACCTAACTATCTCCACCTGTTCATTGAGGAAAATATCTTAGGGTATGAGACACCTCAAGAATTCGAGAATAGGGAAGCTGTGGTCCAAGAGTGAGTTTTGTGATCTTTGGTCGGGTTACACCTCACGATTGGTGAGCTTAGATAGTTCAGTCACACTGACGGGCCTTAATCAGTGTTATAATCAGTGTTATAGTCCACGGTTTCGGTCTGAGGAAATAAGGAGGATATAAGGTTAGTTGATCATTGCCTAAGTAAATATATGACGTGTCACACGTGTTTAGTGGTGGCAGGTTGCAAGAGTATAGGTCATGTCACATATCTAAGAATATAGTGATAATGCACCTAGTTATGATAATTAAAGAAGTTATAAAATGATAAATTGTGATATAAGTGGACTTGTTTTATATATTTGACTTCCTTGTGCATATATTTGGTTTATAATTGATATGTAATTGTATCAGGTAAGTTTAACCTTAATTACTGAGTGGCTAGATTTACCCCTCTTATTTAATACTTTTTAGACTCTAGCTCTACTGTTGAGATGGAGAAAGCTAAAGAGGCAGGGAATTAGCATATTCTTACTGTATGCCTCTAGTTTAAATTTAATTGTATAATAGTATATGTTTTGTCAATTCTAAGATACATATCACCATACTTGCACTATTTTGGTTGTTGGAAATATTAGAATTGTATTTTGGGCCCTTAGCCTTTGTGTATGTTTATATATATATATATATATATATTTATAGGACTAAAATATTAGTGCAAGTATAGAAATGAAAATTTGAGTATGTTTGAAATGATTTGAGCGAAATGCAATGATAAATTACCTCCCCTTTTGTTTTTGGTAAATTAGGGTTGATGAGTGAATTTTAGTTATACTGATGTTTCGATGCTTGTGACGTGTTGTACTGGTAGTCCTAGGTCCATTGGACATGGTCTAGATGTTAGGAAAAGCTTTTGGCAATTGTTGAGGGTTTTGGAGACCCATTTTATGTAGAAGTGTTGAAAAGTGGTTAAAATGCATTTGGATATCCAATTCCTAGTGTGAATTATTTTAGAAGTGAAACAAGTGCCATTAGCTAGTTCATATAAAGATCTTTTCATAGACACCTAGATCATGTCATTCGGACGTCAGATGGAGAATTAGGGTGAGTTAAAAGTTCTCCCGATTCTGCTGTCAAATGACAGCAAAATTAGTAGAAATTTTGTGCAACACGCCACGGTGCAAAGCTCCTAAGCCGTAGCATACGGCACAAAGAGCAACATGCCGCGGCATAGCATACATGAGCCACAACGCATTGCTCTGTATCACAGCATATGTTTTGTTTTTCAATCGTTTTTGACTTCTTTCACTCCTCTGAGGTATCCCATACTTTTGAAACTTATTTTTACTCTGATATGAAAGATTTTAATCGATTTTAACTTGTTTCTATTTAGAAAACTTGGGATCCCTTACTTTTGGATTAAACCCTGATAATCACTTTTTGAGCTAATCCTCTAATTACCATGTGTTTCATTTATTAATTGTGTTTAGTGGAGTGATAACGTTTCAGAGATTCCTTAACTACCCTTGAATTTTATTTTAGAGAAATAACAATAAAATCCTTTTAAATTATATAAATGATAATTAGGTCTCTTAAAATGTTATAATTTTACTAAAGTTTCTAGAAACTTTTCTATTATTAATGAATTTATAAAAATAATTAAATTGTCCTTATAACAATATCAAGAATTTGATATGCAATTTTTTTGTTTGATGTCGCATTGTTATAAATATAAGAAAAAATGGTGATTATTTAAATAAAACTTATAATCATTACTTATTATTTCTAACACTCGTAGAAATATCAAAAATTTGATATGCAAACTTGTAATTTGTTGTTAGATTATTGTGAATATAAAGAAGGAAATTTGTTATTATTTAAATAAAATTTATGCTCATTATTTGTTATTTTCAACACTTGTAAGAATATCATGAATTTGACATGCAAGCTTTTGATTTATTATTATATTGTTATGAATATAAGAAAAAATTTGTGATTATTTAAGCAAAACTTGTGATTATTTTATTTTCAATAAGGGTAATTTGATCATTTATATAAATTCATTAATAACAGATAAATTTTTAGAGACTTTAATGAAATTATAGCATTTCAAAAGATTAATTTATTATTTATATAATTTATAAAAATTTTGTTATCATTTTTTTAGTTTTTTAGAAAAGAGAGCAAAGCTCATGAAATATAAATATATATTTTGGATAGTAACCCATAAAATATATTGATCAACCATCAGTGAAGATGCACGAACACAGGTAACAAGAGTAAAAGCCTAGCCGGGCCAATAGAAAGCAGCCCAATAACCACAGTTTGCAAGGCTTTCAAACACGTCGCACCATCTGACTCAGCAGAGGGGACGACATGCACAAGAAATGGGGCTTCTTTTCAGTCCCATACGCCATAGCCTTTATCAACCAAACCAGGAAAAAAAATAGGTGCGGTTTTCAAGGAAACAAGCAATAAATAACTTTACCAATAAACTGGGTTTAACCACAAAAAAAAAAAGGTTAACTTTTCCTAACTTGATCAATTAAAATTAAAATTAAAATTTTTTAAAGATGTATTTATATTTAACATTTAATTTTATTTTAAAATAGGATTATTTTTAATTGAAAAATACCTATGAAGAATGAAAAGAAAGACTTTACTTTCTTACTTTTAATTTTTATGTACTTATAAAATATATTTGATAAAAAAACAAAAAATATATAATCTCTTATCCTATAAATTTAACTTTGTAAAATATTACCTTTGATATTATATTTAATATATAAAATTACTAATATATTAAATTAATCATAACCGGCATTTAATAATACAATCAAACTATATATTGAAACTTGAACAATACCTTGTTTGGTTCATTGACAGCAGGAGGTTTTTAAAACCTTGCTTCACAAATATAAACGTCTTCTTTAAAATCAATAATTTATATTTGCTAGTGGTACATAAAGGCTTCTTGAATGTATAAAGATTTCCCATAATACTGAACATCGTTCTACCAAGAAATTGTGATGAATAGAAAATCGAAGCATATATATAGTTCGATCAAAATGCACATGCATTTGCAGTAGTATCGTAAATGAAGTAGCATACAGTAATGGAGACGATGGCTTCAAAGTAATCATGCCTACTTCTTATTATTTGCTGACAATAGCAAATTATCAAAGTCCGCAACTAACTATCATATTTGATATATAAAACGTAGTCTAGAAGACATTTGCAAGTGAAATGAATCAAGACAATGGAAATACATATGATCTTGCATTGGGCATGCATGTGACATCTCTCAAGGACTATGTGGAGTCGGAATCAAGTATATGTTGTTTTTCTTTGCAACTGTAACCCCAAATACTTCACTCATATCCAAGTCTTCTGGTTTCATTCCATCTGGGAGCTCCCAGTTAAAATGATAGAGCAAGCAAGCCAGAGTAAGCTCAATACTGGGCAAGGCAAATGAACTTCCTGGACACATTCTTCTTCCAGCACCAAATGGAATGTACTCAAAATTGCTTCCTTTGTAATCGATGGAAGTGCCTTGAAACCGCTCCGGTAAGAATCTCTCGGCGTCGCGCCAATACTCAGGATCTCTTCCGATTGCCCAAGCATTAACTATGACCTTAGTCCCTGTGGGTATTTTGTACCCACCAACATCACAGGGTTTGCCACATTCTCTTGGGAGTAATAAAGGACCTGGTGGATGTAACCTTAGAGTTTCTTTTACCACTAACTTTAAGTAACTAAGTTCCACCAAATCCTTCTCTTGGATGTTTTTCTTTCCCCCAAAAGCTCCTCTTATTTCAGCTTGTGCCTTTTCTCTCACCCTTGGATTTCTCATCAATTCTGCCATAGCCCAATCTAGTGTTGTTGCTGTTGTATCAGTTCCAGCAGCAAATATGTCCTAGAGAGATTATATATTATGATACTGTTAGATAAATGTATATTTAATTATCAATGAGATTAGTTCAATCGAAAAAAAATGTAAAATGATTAAAGCAAATTTTAATTATTAAACTATTTGCAAAAGAGCCTTGGTGTCTTAAACTTATATATGATATAATTTTCCCTTTCAACATTTAAAAATGATGCATTTGGCACCTCACCATGAAAAAAATTAATTTTTATGATTAATTGACCTAAAAAATTAAAAAAATATATATTAAAAAATTATAGAAAATGACATTTCAAATTACAAATAAGCATCATATAAAAAAAATTAACATTGATTAAGTTTCTAAATTTTTGCAAATAGTGCTATTTATAAATGAATGCATTTTTTACGCCAGTTGTAAATTTTTGAAGGAAGACTTATAAATTTTGGAATAAGGCATAAATTATTACATTATTTTAGAAATTTAATTGATATTATTTTTTATAAGGTACTTATGTGTATGTTTTGGTTCTTTTTCTGTAATTTAAAAAGTTAATTGATAGTTAGAGTTAATTTTTTTAATAGCAGATGCTATCATTTTCAAATGTTAAAAGAAAAAATGTTGGGATATTATATGTTTTTGAGCAAATAGTTGAGAGAAAAAATATAATATAATTTAATCCTAACTAAATGAGATGAACATTGCAGTAAATCACTAACCCAGATCACTGCTTTGACGTTGTTGTCTGTGATTGGGATCTCCAGATCGCCATTTTGTTGGACTCGCAAGAGAACATCGACAAGATCTTCAACCCCTGATGACTCACCTTTTCCCTCTACTTCTTTCTGCATCTTCTTTACTTGATGATCTTTCACAATCTTTCCAATGATCTTGTCCAGTTTCTTGTGCATGCTCATCAATTTAGCTTCCATCCGAGTTATGATGTGAACGAGTTTCACAGAAGGAAACAAGTCAGCCAGATCAAACCCTCCAGTCAATTCCACCACTTGTTTCATAAGTTTCAAAAACTCATCTTCATCTTTCGTCTTCTTCCCAAAAGCCGTCCTGCACACCACAGTACTCACCAAAGAGAAAATCTTCGTCGTCAGGTTAATTGCTGTGCCTGAGGACATTCGAATTGATTCAACCAGCTTTGCCACTTCATCTTCTCGAACGAAAGTGAAGGATTGAACTCGCTTGGCACTTAGAAGCTCTATGGTACATATTTTCCTCATTTGTCTCCAGTACTCACCATATGGCGCGAAAGCTATGTCTGTTGAATCATAGGCTATGATTTTTGCGCCGAGAATTTCACCCCTTTGAGCAAAAGTAAGATCATGTGTTTTCATGATCTCTTTGGCCATCTCAGGAGATGATACAATCACTGCAGAGATTTCACCAAGTTGAAGGTGCATCAATGGCCCGTATTTGTGAGATAGGTCTCGCAAGATATGGTGTGGAAGTGAGCCTGCCATGGCTAGCTGATGCAAGTTTCCTATCAGAGGTAGCTTCCGTGGCCCTGGAGGAAGTTTAGTACCGACAAGATTCTTATGATCTTTGATATTTTGCTTGGAATTCTTCCTAGCAAGTAAAAGGAACAAGCAGAGGAAGAAGATAATGATGAAGATGGAAGACAGGAGGTCCATCGTGTGAAGAAAAGACTTGATCAGTAGTTACATTGAATCTCACGGGTTTTAATGAACTATATAAATCAGTTTTTTTTTTTTTTAAGAAACTTTCAACTTACTGATGATGAAAGGATATAAGACTTTGGTAGTTTTTTAATGCAATGATTGGTTTGAAGATTGAAGCAAAAAATTGATGCAGAGTAATAAGAACTCCGAAGTTGACCTGGGGATTTTATTTTATTAATTGGATGTTACATTAAACAAAATTTATTGTATTCTTGTTTATTATTGCCAGGATTTCCGATCCGCCTCGACTGGAATGGGGTTATTATGCCAAACTAATAAGCATATATTTGGCACATTCAGGTTCAATAAGGTTTGACTGAAATCAGGGAATTGATTGAGAAATAATTCCTGATCAAATCCAAATCAGGAAGTTTTCCTCCACATTTAATGTAGAATATTCCATCACAAGATTTTTTTTTTTTTTGTTGTTTGGCCAAACCATCGCAACAATTGAACATAGCTAATGGTTGCATTCTCATGTATGTATCAAGTAAAAGCAGCAAGCAAGGATGAAACTGATGATGACGCTGGAGGGATATGGGAATTAAGTGGCATCAAGTAATAATTACTGGCGAGTACCTATGACCTGCGGATTTGAATGACATTCTATATATGATCTGTTTCAAAGACCTTTCAGCTTTATGAATAAATACTGGTCCGACTCATCATGGCATTCTCAACTCGCCAATTTTAAAATAAGATTTTATCTACAATCTGATCGTGTGTTGCACAGCAGAACGAATCTAACTTACAGCCATTCTGCTAAAAAAAAAGCTATAAGCTAGAAGGGTCATGAACTTTGCAATGAATATATGGTAAAGACTTTAATTGGTATAAGTCCATCTTACCATTGCTTTTGTATACTTAAGATATAAACCCAAAAAAGGGAATAAGCCATTATATTCCCTCCAACGATGGCTATACAGCACAGTCTAATTAAGGACATCAAGAAAACATATTGCATATACATGTCCATATATTTGCACTTAGCTTGGATCCATCGCATTAGCACATATATATGTCACCGATTTTCATGACACTTTTTTTTTCTAAAAAAGAAATTAGCTTTCAGCTTCTTGATGCAAATATATGTTTGACGTCATAATTTTTTAATTTAATGTTGGGTTTGAACGTTGGAGCAAAGTTGAATGGAGACTGCTATATATAAGCTCAATATTTGACTGTAGGATTTTACTTATTTATATGTCTTTGTCTAACATAATTTAATTTGCATCAGCCTTCATGTTAATTATTCATTTGCATAAATATATTCAGGTCAACGTCAAGGATTTTGATGACATAAATTATTTTTTGCCCATAGTTACATTTTCCTGATGCAAGCATATATGTGTGCGCGCGCGCGTATGTGTGACTGCTCTATAATTTAACGATGGGTCAGAAGACTTTCAAGCAAATTTATGCAGACTATAACCTCCAAATTTGACCAAATTAATTTCTTTAATTTGCGTGTTTACATTAAACATATCATAGATGCTCCCTTGTAATACTTAGTCATTTTTTTTAAATTTTCTCTTATAATTTTGTTTTGGCCTACAGGTAATTCTTAGTCATCAAACATAGAAAAGACGAAGATGGAGAATATAGGAATTAGGAATTCAATAACTAGAAGAAAAATAATGATGCATATTAAAAGAAGAAGGAAAAAGATTGATGAGCACCTGTAGCAGCCTGCCTTGCGGAACGGAATTGATAGCATATATATTGTCAACAATTGATTTAATTGGCGAAGATTTGACCCATAATTTATAATGTATTAGGCTCAAATTCCATTGTCAATTAATAAAAAAATCTTATTGGTGAGGGATATACGTATACTCTTGAAAATTCTTTAAATATAAAAGCATGTTTAGGTCTTGATGAGATAATACTCAACTCATTTAAATTGTTTTTCATTAAACAAAAAAAAAAAAACCAGAATTGAAAGTTTCCATGGGTATCAATTCATTATTGTTAATTTGATGCTGATCATCAGACCCATCACACATGCATGCTCTGTCTTGGGAAGATTGTTTAAAAAATTAAAATAGTGCGATACAGTCAAAGCTCAAAGATTTTGTGATTAGTCAATGCTAATATATATAAGTATAAAGTTTAGATTTGACATTTGAATAAAATTTGTTATTTTGCCATGTGGGAGGTAGCCGTGAAATAAATCATTAGAAATTTAAAAAGGACACTTGCACGACATTTGAGGCTTGATGCATTTATTTATAAAAGAAAATCCTAGCTAGTTTTCGGATATGATGCGACGAATTAAACTTTCAAGAGACCTTAAAAAAACCTATAAAAAGAAAAGCCCAATTATGCATGGCCCAAAACAAGACATAAGTTAAAAAACTTGTCAGGCCTAGAACTAATTTTTCTTTTTCCCCCAAAACACTGAACACTACGTTTTAGTTGTCCTTGAACTCCAGTGGGATCGCTCTAACCTGGTTGGAGCGATGGGTTCCGTCGAATTGGCAATTTTTGGTAGTCGTATCTTCGCTATCCAACATCTACACATTTATGGCTTTCATTTGCCCCAAAAAATTTTGTTTTCAAAGACCCAATATTCGGTTCTAATTTTACAGTAGATATTCTGGGAGTTTTACAGTAGATATTCTGGGAGTTTTCTCAAGAAACGACACCACATGTTCATATAACATCAATAGAATATCCAGAGAGTTGAAACAATGGCAAAAATACATATAAACAACATAGCATCATAGAAGATTTGCATGGATTATGTATAAGAAATCATATAAACATAGCAACGAAGACCAGATCAAATGTTTGCTCTGATACCAATGCAAGAAAGTGGATGAATCATACTTTTATGTGGCACACAGATAGACTACCGAAGAACAGAGTTATCGTGCAAACTCCATCGAACTCTCACAACAAATGCACAAAGAAGAGGAAGAGAGAAAAGGAGGTTTCATCGGGGAGGGTATGCAGAGTCTCTCATACAGTTTCATGCACCCAATATGTACATCCGATTCAAGAGACGATTTTCCGAACAGGCATGTAACCATTCCTTCCACAATTCAAGTAAAAGAAAGAAGAAAATATTGCACTTAAGTGTCCATATTATTTACACTTAAGAAACTAGACTTTCTCTATATACTGATAAGGCTCCCATTCCAATTTGGCTTACATTAGGGCCTTGATATACTAATGATGAATAACCCAACATAGTATCCTTTCATTTGAATTATTTCTGTTCAGAAACTCAATTAAATCACGAAAAAATGAGACTATAACCCTAACTCTTTTGTTTGATTCTATATGACCATATGTCAATTCCTTTGTCCCACTGTAATCTGAAATGCAATAACAAAAGAAGGGGATATCTTGGTACTTGATGTGAAAATGCCTAGAGCCCTTCCGCTCGCCTCTCTCTCCCTGTCTCACTCTCCCTCCTTCCGCCTCCTCGAATTATAGCTTCTTTCCTATTTTGCCTAATTAATATATGTTTAATTTTTTGGCCGACTGGCCCTTTAATTTAAACAACATGAAAGTAGTATCCACTCCATGCGTCTGTGCAAAGATGATATTTTATGCATTCTAATAAAAAAAAATTAAGACCAAATATGCTCACCATATTAAAGGAAAAAGAAATAAATTATTGAAGAGTTCTTCTGCTTTCTCGGTTCATAGGATTATATTGAAGCCTACCCATGACAGTCTCAAGTAATACATGATAGGTGGTGGAAGAGGTGGCTGCATCCACCAGTTACGACGATAGGGGAAGAGAAGGCGTGAAAGACTAGTGTTATTTATTGAGTATTGACAAGATGTTGGAGATAACGGATTGGAGCACATAGGTTGCTTTCAAGGTGAGGGAGCATGGTTTTCTGGGAGAATATCATAATAGTAGTTGAGCATGATTATTTTTGCTCCCTTCAGTTTGACTTAGACTAATTTAGTTAGCAGTTTGTAGTCACCTCTTTAGGTGGCATACTTCCTATCAAGAATTTAATCACTTTTGTATGCACAAAGCTCGAACTTGAAATTTTTGATTAAGTTAGATCAATTCTCTAATCATTTCATTTGAGTGTCCAGTTGTGTGATTAAAATTTTTTTGATATGAGTAATTAAATGTGTTTTTTTTCTTTTTAGTTTATGATCACTAAAGGACTTAGGGGGAGATTTTGAATCTTTTGGGACTTATAGGGAATAAATTGCTTCTTTTATGACTTAATTGTCATTTTCTCTAATAAATAAAAGACAAATAATTTCTCCATAAGGCTCCTTAATTTTTTTTTTCTATTGAGGAAAATCATTCATGCTTTTCTGAGGAACATTTAATTCAACTAATTAAGGAATTAAATTAGCTTATCTAAGAGTTTTGAATTTGAGTCCTAACATATGCATAGCCAAGTTAAATAAATATGTTAAATACATTTTTGAAATAGTTCAAATTAATTTGAACAGGGGATTATAATACTTTCACTGAACCATGGAATCCAAAAAAAGAAAAAAGAAAAACATTATTCATGCTTTAATAAAGGAAAATTTCTGGTTCCCATTATCCCGTTATATCCCTCTATTTACGGGTGCATTTCTTGCGGGAAACCCGGTCTTCGGCCACAGTGCGGTACTCTCTGTCTCTGTCTCTCTCTGTCTCTGTCTCTCTCTCTCTCTCTCTCTCTGCGTGTATAAATATAATATCTCACTCACCCACGTACATAAACATACATACATGTAAACCCAATCTAAGTATCTCGTACAAATAGTACTATTATTTGGCAAGCTGGTTCTGCTTGGGGTTATCTTATCTCATAATCAAACAAATCGAAAAAGACAAATTGAATTCATTGAGCTTTGTAATCATCTTCGGTCGCTATATCTTTTGATAGAACTTTCTGAAAAAAAAAAAAAAATGGGCTTACGCATTCAAAACCTCTCTGTTTTTGCGTTTCTGGCATTTCTTTTGCCGGCAGTGTCTCATTGTTTCTTCACTATCCTTGTTCTTCACATAAATCAATCCTTCTGTATATCAATACATATAGTATAATATATCATAGTTCAAAGATGATTCATATTTCATGCTGTTCCAAGTTTGTTTTTTTTTTTCCTGTGGAATCCATAACTAAGCAAATTGATAACAAGCTGTAAAGCTAGGCGGTTCTATAATTTTCCGCAACTAATACACTAAAACTATTATATAATTTAACCAGATAATTAAGAGCTATATATATAAAATCAAAAGAAAAGCTCATTTGCTTTGAAAACGTTGATTAATTTTACACTCATAAAGGACGGTTGTGAATTGCATGAGTACTTGAGACTACGAATTGTTCCTTGTACTGGTATCACTCTACAGTATCAGTATCTCGAGAAGATAAGATTGAAGCAAAATCATGCAAGAACAAGGTCTGGCTAATTAAGTAGGTTAATGATATTTCGATGTTAGGCTTTGAAACTCTTGGAGGTACCGTTACTTAACGACATATATGATGGCTAATGAAGATAATAATAAACTAATATATATAGATCATGACAAGTGATCGTACATGGAGTACATATAGGACTCATCATACATGAATTACACTCACCAGAAACTACAGATTATAAGATTACAGATGAAGAGAAGTATCAACACCAGAATCAGAATCAGAGCCATCACAGTCATAGGTGTTATTTTTCCACAAAGTCATAGAGGCAGAAGGAGTCTCCGGCTCGAGAAAAGTCACCGCTGAAAGTGTTTCTCGTGGTGGCTCCGGCAACGACGATGAAGATGATGGCCAAAGGGAAAGAGAAACATGGCTATGAGGTGGTGGTGGCGATGGCAGTGTTCTTGTGGATGGTACGAGCGTTAACTCCGGCCGGTAGGAAAATGACATCGTCTTGGGAGGCAGGTCGCAGGTTGTCGTCATGGAGGGTTTGGAATTGTTACCGACAAAGTGTTTTGGTTCAGAAGTGAGCACTCTGAGAAGCTCTTTCTCTTCCCTCATCTCTTTCACTCTTTGCAACTGTCTGAATCTCTCCTGAAGAAGTGCAATGGAGGAGTGAACCACCGTGGGGTCATGGCTATGGCTTTCCCTTCCCATTTTATGAATAGCTAACCTGTAATTACGTAACAAAAGAAACCTATGGACTTAGGAGTCTTGCATTTCTTTTCGTGTATTTATATAGCAAGGGGTAGTGCCGCTAATGGTTAATTAATATTTTGGGAGAATATTATTATTATCATGAACAACCTCTAAAAAAAAATTTAACATGTGATGAGGACTTGGACAAATTTAATAATTGCTAAAACACGAATTTCATTTGTTAATTACTAATGTTTATTTGTCAGAAGTTCTCGTTGGATGTTAAGTTCTTCAATGGTTTTCTGCCTAATATTTTCCATGTAGAATAAAAACATGAAAAATATTTTTATCTATAACCTGTCCAATAAAAACATATTATGTCATGTGACTTTAAATATAAATTGATTTTGAATTGATGATAATAGAAGAAAAAAAGCCAAGAAATTAAATAGACACTTTATTTTAAAAATACAGTCATCAACAATAATGACACACAAGATTTTATTCTATTAAACTTGTGCAACATGTCATGTCTTTATTGGATAGAGCATGTAATACATGGTGTGCTAGATCTATGTAAGAATTTCTCTATCTCAAAGTCAAATCCACCATAGCCGAAAATCTCAACCTACCCAATTCAATGCCACAAGTTAACTTGGATAATCTCAAGTTTCAAGCTAAAACAATCAAGGGAAATTAGTAATCAAGGATCTTTATATGAAATTTATACTAATTAAGGATAATTTATTTTTAAAACCCGAATGAAAAAAAAGCTCGAATGGATTGTTGTTAATTTATAATTAGTTATTGTTAAAACCTAAATAGATACTTGTTAATAAAAGACTAATCCAAATTGAAAAGTATTTATTTATGTTTTGACAACAGTTGATCTTTGACTGATATAAATTTTACAAAGAAGTCCTTGCTTGTTATTTTCCCAACAATCAACTCAAGATAGAAACCAAGCCAATGAATATTAATGACAATGAATATTTTATGTTTTTTTTAAATAACTTATTCAAATTTCTAATATAGTTTCTTGAATTTGAAGACATTTTTGGAGTTAACAACCTTTGATTTTCATAGGCTACATCTCAGTTATGCAAAGTTCACTATATTGCATTAGCTTTAGTTATGTCAGCAGCATTTTTCTATATTTATGTATTAATTACAAAGAAAATAGAGATTATTATACATGTGCATTAACTAAAATTGAGGTTTATTGTTAAGTTTTGAAAGTTAAAAATAAAATTATAATTACGGTAAGAATGAAAGTATAGGGATTATGCATAAGTTAATTGATCAAGTATATCAAAATCATAGGTTGTCTAAACATAGGAGATATATACGATAAATAGACAGTTCTATGTTATAGCTTTGTCCTACGTGCATGACTGGATGATATGTCTAATTAACGAAGTTTCTCAAAATGTTTAATTTTCGATTGAAGAGAAAATCTGATAACAATATGTACAGAAGAAAAATCTTGTAAATAAAATAATTCAAATAATGATGAAGGCCTCGATGAAGTCTCAGAAGGAATCACTATATATAAAAAGCGGAAAGAGAATCGGCAGGTAGGTTGCAAAATCCAAAGAGAAGAAGTTGATTGGCCAAAGTGAGGAGGAAGTTATGTGGATGTGGAGGAAGGAGGCAAAAGCAATAAAGCAAGCAGTGTTATGGAGGGAAAATTACTCTCAATTTTCTTAGAAGAAGTCATTTTATACTGAGGTCCTATGAAATTACTAAATTATGCCAATGTCTCTAGCAGTTTGTATTTTGAAGCACAATTACTAAAATGTCATTATTTTTTTCAACAAAGAAATACCTACACTCTCTATCAGCCACTTGTTCCTATCAGAGCCCTATTGTTGGTAGCCAAACTACTGCTGTATATTCAACACTAGTGGCCATTGGCCAAACCATCATTAGTGCCTGGTGGAGATTTAAACTTAGATGAGCCTTTGGCTCTCCATGAAGAGGGGAGAGATCTCTCTTGCTTCATCTGATCCCTCCTATTCTTGGTCTTGCTCTCACATAGTGAGGGTGGGATGGATTTAAAAAAAATAAAATAAAAGCAAAAAAGAAACCCATCCCTCATCATATGAGGGTAGAACCAAAAACAGGAGAGAGGAAGCAGGAGAGTGATTCCTCCTTGCCAGAAGCAATTAGCTATTGAATCATGAAATATATTGCAAAATTTTACACGTTATAAATTCAGTCTCTAGTTTCTCATTCCCAAATGAAAATTGAAAACTGAATTTATAACATATATAATAAAATTTTGCATTTTATAATTAGGAAACTTGGTTGAGTAGTTGATATGCATCATTAATTTATGTCATTATCATTAGGTCAGAGGTCATGTTCAATCTCAATATGACCACCTTAATTAGAGAATTTAATCCATTGCTAAGAGGAAGTAATTTTTTGTGAAAAAGTAAGGGCACGTTATTAATTGTCCTTCAAAAGTTTTTATAATAAAAGAATTCAGGACTTGAGTGTAATTTAATGTTTTTTTGGGACTTTAGTGTATAGAATCACTTCTTCCATGTAACTTGAGAGTAATTCTCCTTATTATGTATGCGCATGTATAAGATTTGGATACAAAGAGGGCCAAATTAAAAATAAAGCAGTGAGTGGTAAAGCAAAAGAAGAAATAAAAAGGCAGAGAAAGGTGTGTGGGTGTGTTGGGGTGAGTAGTCCAAAGGGAATGTCGGAAGTAGCACATGGAAGGGTGTGTTTGGAGGAATGATGAGTTGACTGATGCCCTGCTAACAAACAGGTCCCAATTTAAAACCCTTCTTTTTGTGGAGTTCTTGGGACCTACGCCTACTCCTAGATATCATTTTTTAAGATTAACTTCATAAATTGTTTGGATGATCATGATCTAATTTTTGTTTTAAAAAAACAAGAAGAATATCAAGACTCCTAAAAATTAACATCTAGCAGGGATTTAGGCAAATCAAATATTAGTTAATAGTTAAAATAGTAACCTCACTTGTTAATTTGTTAATGTTTATTGGCTTGTTTAAAATACTTAATAGGTATTAAATTCTTTTAAGGTCCTTCATTGATATATTCTTTCTAAAAAAAGACAGATTTTAACTCTATTTTCTTAAGTTTTTGTAAACGTTTTTTTTTCTGAAAATAAAAACACATAATTTATTGGGAGAATATTAGTAAATGACCCTGGAAGCAATTTAATTCGGACTATTGACAAGTAAACACTATCTATATAAGTTCTTATCAGATATTAAATTCTTTCGAAGGTCCTTCATTGATATTCTCCTTATTTTATTTGAGTAATGTACAAATCACAGATACTTTTCTTTTAATTTTTAATGGAATCATGTAACTTTCTGTTCCTCAAGTTTTTTTTTATTATTGATTTAGTCGCTCAAATTTAATTTTTATTAATTTATTTACTTTGATTATTAATTTGGTTTTTATTGTTTAAAAGATATTGCATTGTTAAAATTTGCTGACTTCAATAATAAAATATTGATGATAACCATATAAATTAATAAAAATGAGTATAATTATTTATGTGGGAAAAAATAGATTATAGAATTTTAAAAAACAAGAGAATAAAGCATATTATAAATGATTATATTGATAAAAATTAAATGCATTTGAAGGTTAATTTGTTTTTTTATTTAACTGCATAAGCATGTCAAATTATTAATATAGTTTACACATTAGATTATTTTGAGAGTTTATTTGTCTTAAAATTTAAATATTTCCCTTGCAAATGGTCCTTAACATTTGAAAACTAATTTTAATTTGATTTTATATTTAAAAAAATTCTGGACTTGATATATCTTTTATCATATAATATTTGCCTCTAAAAACAATGACAAATAATATCATAATATTTTAGTGGGAAAGTATAGTTTTCTTGTTGGTGCTGTCCCTATTAGATTGAGTCCTTCTTTCTAGCTATAATACTCTCTCAACGTTTTCTTTTTGTTTGGTAATGGGAAGTTGAAGAATTGGGAGCAGTGCAAAGAGCAAAAAGACAATGTGTAGAAGGAGGAATAATCTTGGGAGCTCATTATGCTTTGTTTGAACAGTTTTATGGATGACAACGACAAACATGCCAACATTCTTCTCTCTTTCTCTCTCTTTCTTTTTCAATCTATGCAACTTCTTTGTCTGCATGCATTTGGACGTGAATGGCATGCACAAATCAAAGCTGCAGATACCACTAATGCTTCTTTTAAACAGATAGCAGAAAGAAGCAAAACTTCTACTCTCCATTATTTTCGAAGTTTGAAACGCAGGTCGATATGACACTAACATGAACAAGGCATGCGTTTTTTTTTTTTATTTAAAAAAAAGCCTATTATATTAAGCTCTATCATTTACACTTCAATTTAGGTAACTTTCTTATCTTGGACATGCACACTAATATCGGCCAAAATAGCAACATACAAACATAAAACGTTGATAAAAATTAGTTCATATATGCGTGTCCATATATATATTGTAGACACACAAGTTAGTGGACCATATTTCTCACTTTCTTTTTTTTTGAAAGAGGCTCTAATTCTCACAGTTGTATGGAATTATCTCTAACAGTTTGCCAAGCGAAAAGTGATATATATATATCTATATCTAACTTCTGCCGCGCCTTGTCTAATAATTAAAGAAGAAAAAGATAAATGGTACGTATTTTTGAATTTGAAATGGACTTGTAATTTGTAACTTATATTAAGTGGTTAAGCAAATTCAAATTTGAAGAGGGAAATTACGTGGCATTTCAAATAAAAAAATTGATTTTAAATAATTAAAGAAGATGAATAATGCAGACGGCCAGTGAAATTTTAGATTCCACAGCTCATTATGCAGAAACGACCCCATTGTTATTATTTAGTCTGTGAAAACACATGACTTGTGTAAGTCTTGTTGGCCCATATATGTCAGCTATGCTTCTCACTACTGAAAATCTTACTTCATGTGATCTAGAGCTACTAGCTAGCTGCAAGATCAGTCTTGGACAATGAAAATATAAAAATAATTAACTGAGTTTACAATTCA